GACACAATTACCAAGATAAATCTTTTCTGATGTGGAAGATCAGACTATGCTGCAACCACAGAGATAACTTAGACAGTACCTTGGCTCTGATACCAATTGTTGCGGAAGCCAAATGTATATAGTATGAATAAGTCACAACTACTATACCAAAAATTATGACAGCCACCAAATAATAAATAAGACAATAAAACAACAATAAAGGGAACACCAGAATTTACGAGGTTCGGCTAATTTTGCCTACTCCTCGGACACAACCAATATTTTATTTCACTCCAAAAATACAAGTGAAATAATACTAAAGAGAGAAGATACAAATGCCTTAAACAGATGAGAAGGCAAATGAGAGGTGTGTTTAAATCCTAAACATTAGGCCTTCTTTTATAGGAAAAATATCACTACCAAATGGCTAACCCACCGATGTGGGATTTGCCAAATTCAACAAATGGGACTTGATAGGTGAGGAGGGGGTGGATAGGCCTTATGTGGGTGCGGGGCAAGTTGAAATAATTTTTTTAAATTAAATGTGGGTGCGGGGCGAATAACGGGTTTCGGGAGCTTTGCTTAAAATTTTAAAACATGCCTTAACAATTTATATTACTAACTTAAATAGTTATGGGTCTTAATCTTTTCTACCTAACAATTTTTTAATTTGATACGCTTAAAACTGATTTATGCTACTTCAAGACAAATAAATATGCAAGTTTTATCAAAGATGAAAGAGAAAAATATTAGAAATATGTTTCCATTGATTTGACACTACCAATTTAGAATAAGATCAAAAATTACCACTTACTTAGAATCAAAATCAAATAAAGAAGAAACAAAATAAATAGCACATAGACCTAGCTAGAATATAGCTAACATTTATGGGTCTTGAATTTATTTTTTTACTGTATTCTAATATTGATGGGTTTTGAATTTATAAAGTTACTATACTCTAACTTTCAGTATCGTGTCTAATTATTATTCAATTAAACTTTAACAATTTTTTGTAACTATATTTACTTAATTTGTTTTAAAAAAATCACTATCTATTTGGAGTTTTATTTTTGTCTGAAAAGAGAAAAGAAGTGAACAAATTCTTAGTATTAAAAATTGATGTTATTTTAGAAGTTAAACTGACGATACAAGTAGCTAATACCATATCCTCGAATTTCAAATACATTATACTTGTGCGTTTCAGCAAAAGTAACAACATAAATTTCGTTTTGTGGGGTCAGGCGGGTTGAAAGCAGAAAAAATGCTATGCGGTGGGGTTAAAAGTTTTGCAAGTTAAGTCTCAACTCACAACCCGTCCTGCCCCGCCCTAAATAGGTACGTTCAAAAAACTCTGGGAGCTATTTGTAATTATGCAATCTGGAGTGGAGGTAAATGAAATTAATGCTTCTCAAAACCCTAAACAGCATCGCTATAAGCTATCTGGTAACGGGATGAAGTGCAAATAGCAAAGAGAACTAAAGATGCAGATCTTCGTGAAAACCTTAACAGGGAAGACCATAACCCTAGAGGTCGAATCGAGTGACACCATTGACAATGTCAAGGCTAAGATTCAGGATAAGGAAGGTATTCACTTGTAATTTTCTCACCTTTTTCTTATCTTTCATAGTAATTGTGAAATAATAAAGCTATCTGATTGATGGGTACTTTATAGGGATTCCACCGGACCAGCAACGTCTGATATTTGCTGGTAAGCAGCTTGAAGATGGCCGTACGCTTGCAGATTATAATATCCAAAAAGGTCCGTGTTGAATGAAATTGGAAACTGAAGTTTTTTTGAACTGTTATTTTATTTTGGTTAATTATATTTCCTAATGAAAAACAGAGTCCACTTTGCATCTTGTGCTGAGGCTTCGAGGTGGGATTATTGAACCGTCTCTTATGGCTTTGGCCCGGAAGTACAACCAGGATAAGATGATCTGCCGCAAGTAAGTTCTCCTGAACAAAAAAAGACTTGATTTCACGTGTTATGTTTACTTTTGGAACGATATTGGCCTGATTTCATGAGAATTGGATATAGGGGATTCATATAGTCTGTTCCACTAGATCCGAAAAATAATTTATCTCAGAAATGTCAAAGCTCTAAGATGGCCGGTTCAAAAATGTTTTTGTGGTGACATACGATTATTTTCGTGTGAGCTCAAGCTTGTAGATGGCATTTCGTTTTCTTGTTATCACTTGTAACACATGGTGATTGTCTTTCACCTCTATCTTTCACCTCTATGATGTTATGGTGAAGTTGCATCTTGCACAAGAAAATTAATATCTTTTCGCTGCTGCTTTTATTCTAATTTGCGTGCCCCAGAGCATTGTACTTAGCTAAGAAATTAAGATAATTTACAAAGTTATGTGATGTGGACCGAAGAAGAAACTAGAAAGTGATGATGCTTTGAGGGCATGGCAGAGATAGAAACCTGCCAAATACTACCTTATCAACCACCTACAGATTCCTTAGTATAGCTCTCTGATGTCCTTGTTTGCTTTTTGATCTACTTTTGTGTGTACTATTTTGGTAGACATGATTGGAAGCTATCCTGGCCGAGGTAGTGGCTTGAATATGGCATGCATGACATCTTCTGCTTGTTCTGAGTGACTATCGAACATATCAGTTTTTCTCATTGTCATCTCATGAGGAAGTTGTATGATAATTGCACGACTAAACAAACTTTTGGTGCTAAAATGAAGTCTTTTCCTTTAAATTATTTTTGGGCTCTCTCACTGATCCACACGCTATGATGTTGCATTCTGCTGGGTTAAGTTGCGTGACTAACAAGTTGTCTATTTATTCTTTCTTTGATACGCTCTATGATTTTGCCTTTTATTGGGTTAAGTTGTGTGACTAACGAGTTGTGATCTTTTTATTCTTTCTTTGATGCTCTTGGGTGTATTTATGTGTTTTCTTTTGCTGCAGATGCTAT